ATTTATTTTTTTAAAGATTTTATTTATTTATTTGACAGAGAGACACAGCGAGAGAGGGAACACAAGCAGGGGGAGCGGGAGAGGGAGAAGCAGGCTCTCCACGGAGCAGGGAGCCCGATGAGGGGCTCGATCCCAAGACCCTGGGACCATGACCTGAGCAGAAGGCAGATGCTTAACGACTGAGCCACCCAGGCGCCCCTTATTCTTTTACAACCTTTCAGGAGCAGTACAGGAAACTTTCCCTTAAGTTTATCCAAAAAGTGTCCATTCTGGGCCAATAATGATAGAGCTCACGATCCACACTTCCCCCTAGCAGAGTGCTACGCACTTTCTTCCATTTTCAACACCCTTCAAATACACCGTGATAAAATCAAAGGATAGATTTGAGAGGGAGGGAGTAGGGATGATTGGCGGACACCATATCCAAGAAGAGGACAAATCAGCTGGTTCTATACCTTTTATCTTTGCTCTAGATGGTGCTTCCCTTTTTCTTCCTGACACTTTATAGTTGTCAACTTGTGCCCTGTCTTAGACTGCTTGGGCTGCCCTAACGAAATACCCTGGGTTTGGTGGGTTAAACAACAGAAATTTATTTTCTCCTAGTTCTGGAGGCTGGAAGTCCAAGATCAAGGCACCAGTCAATTTGGTTTCTGGTGAGAGTTCTCTTCCTGGCTTGCAGATGGTTGTCTTCTTGCTGTGTCCTCACATGGTTTTTGTTCCATGCATTGTGCAGAGAGAGAGAGATCTCTTCCTCTGTTATAAGGTCATCAATCATATTGGATTAGGACCCCACCCTGATGACCTCATTTAATCTTAATTACCTCCTAAAAGCCCAAACTCAAAATACAAACTGCAAGGTGGGGCTTTGACTTGTAAATTTAGTGGGGATATAATTCAGTCCATAGCATGCTCATAAGCAAACATCAAAATTATTGCCTAATTTCTTAGAATGTTGGCTCAGACCAACTGCATCCTAATTCCATAAAAAGAAAGATATAGGAGCTGACTGATAACCACAATGACTGCCTTCAAGGAGGAACCGGAAGGTAGGCCTTGGGGACAGTAGGCCAGGTCAGTTCTGCAGTGTCCACTGTCTGCTGAGTTGGTGGCCCAAAGTATCAACTCATTTCCTTTTGCAACCTGGTCAACAGAAAGTAGGACAGAGCTAGATACTTATATCTTAATTTATACTCTCAATTATTTAAACAGTATAAGAAGGCTGGGCGACAAGGACCTAAAGCCAAACTGGAAAAGGGCTCTGAGAACCATTATGATAGCCAATCTGGTAACAATTGGGATAAAATAGGTTAATATCAATCATGACTCTAGAATTATTATTCTTGATAGAAAATCCATTTACTTTTAAAGTTAGTGTAACATTTAATAATTTTATATTATTAAGACTGATTTTTATACTAAATTCTTCATTAAGATGAGAATGGCATATTCTAAACATGCATTTCTTTTGTTTTTAAGATGAAGTTGGAAGAAAAGATAGATAGGGATTGAAATGAGAGTTTATCCAACTTGAAAATTTCTAAGAAAATTTAACGAATTGTAAAGATTGAAATTGGGCAAAATATTCTTGACTTCTAAAATAATTGGATATTCTTTCTTTTTTTCTCTCTTTCTTTCTTCTTTCTCTCTTTCTTTCTTTCTTTCTTTCTTTCTTTCTTTCTTTCTTTCTTTCTTCCTTTCTTCCTTCCTTCCTTCCTTCCTTCCTTCCTTCCTTCCTTCCTTCCTTCCTTCCTTCCTTCCTTCCTTCCGTTTTTAGAGAGAAAGAGAGAGCATGTGAGCAGGGTGAGCTGAAATCAAGAGTCAGGACGCTTAACCAACTGAGCCACCCAGGCGCCCTTCTTTCTTTTTCTTTTTAAAAATTAATTTTTAATTACTTAAAAATAATTTTAAAATAAATTGAATTTTTCTAGAGCAGTTTTAAGTGTACAGCCAAATGGAGAAGAAGGTACAGAAATTTCCCATATACCCTACCCCCACACATGCATAGCTTATCCTGTTATCTCTATCACTCACCAGAGCAGTACATGTATTTCAAATGATGAACCTCCATTGACATATCATAACCACCCAAAGACCATAGTTTTCATTAGGTTTCACTCTTGGTTTTGTACATTCTATAGGTTTGGACACATGTATAATGACATTGACATGTATCCAGAATTATAATATTGTATAGAGTATTTTCACTGCCTAAAAATCATCTGTGCTCTATCTATTCATTCTGTATCCCCTCTGGCAACCCCCGATCTTTTAAGATCTAAAACTAATCCATAGTTTGGCCTCTTCCAGATTGTCATTGAGTCATAATCATACAGTATGTAGGCTTTTCAGATTAGCTTCTTTTACTTAGTAATATGCATTTAAGGTTCATCCATGTCTTTTCATGGTGTTATTGCTCTTTTTTTTTTTTTTAGTGCTGAATAACGTTACCTTGTCTAGATGTACCATAGTTTATTTATCCATCCACCTACTGGAGGAAATCTTGGCTGCTTCCAAGTTTTAGCAATTGTGAATAAAGCTGCTATAAATATCCTTGTGCAGGTTTTGTGTGGACATAAATTTAGATAAATACCAAGGAGCATGATTGCTGGACGATAGGGTAAGAGTATGTTGGGTTTTGTAAGAAACTGCCAAACTGTCTTCGAAAGTAGCTGTACCATTTTGCATTTCTATCAGCACTGAATGAGAGTTCCTGTTGCTCCACATCCTTGTCAGCATTTGGGGTTGTCAGTGTTTCAGATTTTGGCCATTTCGATAGGTGTGTAATAGTGTGTCTGGTTTTGATACTCCTTCTTTTAAAGTTAGTGTTACAGATGACACTTGGTGGCTGAGAAGACTAAAAGTTACCATTTGAAGGGAAAATATGGTTGATTTCATTGAAGTCAATGAAATATGACTTTGAAGTCAATGAAATATGACTTTGAAGTCAATGAAATCAATGACTTGATATCTGAAAGGATTGAAAAGGTAAACTAAAGTCACACAGAGATGAACAAAAAAGTTAAGGGTTTAAAAAACCACAGCCTTAGTCTCTAGGAGTTTCTACAGTTTTCTCACTGATAGTCTCATAAATAAATATCGGATAAGGATAATAATCATAATAGCTATTTGGATAATTAGTGCTATGTTCAGTTAAAGCTAAAAGCCAGAGCTACTATTAAGATAATCAATGTAAATATACTTGAGAAGAAAAAGAAAATACCAGTGAACAAATTAAATAACAAACAAAAATCCAACTGCTGTAAATTCTGAAAATCTCTGGGGGTCTCATTATCATTCAACATAAATCCTTACAGACTTATTTATTAACACAGAACTACTAAAATGAGCATTTATCTCCATCTGCAAGTGAAATTAGGATTTAGTGGAAAGGGGGAGAAAAACTGAGGGTTTTCAGGCTCTAAAGCTGTCTTTACAATGGTTTGTATTTTATGGTGTATGCCAGTGTGTGCTTATAAGATAATTAAATTGTGTAGGTTATTTTGGTGATTTGAGAAAAAGCTTTGGTTTTCCATTGCCTTCGTTATTTTGTAAGAGTTGAAGCATGTCGAGGGGCAGGATTGGATTAGGAGTGGTGCTGGATTTTCATGACGGGACTGTTATCTGTCGGGGTTCTAGCTCCTTTACCTGAGATGAAGGGTTTGAACCTAGATGACTTTTTTGAAATCTTTTAGGCAACACGGATATTCTCTGATTTTTCAGCTGCTCATGGTACTCCCTATTCCTTAACAAGCCTTTGACTCTACATGCATGGCAGACTTAATGAGAAGCCGTTAAAAGTGAGCTGGCCGTTTTTTTTGGTTTTTTTTTTTTAAAGATTTTATTTATTTGAGAGAGAGAGAGCAAGTGCATGAGCAGGGGGAGGGGCAGAGGGAGAAGCAGGCTTCCCGCGGAGCCGGGAGCCGGATGTGGGGCTCGATCCCAGGACCCTGGGACCATGACCTGAGCCGAAGGCAGACGCTTAAAGACTGAGCCACCCAGGCGCCCCTGAGCCGGCCGTTTTGAGATGGCAGGCATATCGCTCAACCAAGCACAACAGCAATGATACGACAAGGCCAGCGGGCTTCCGAGGACTCAGGAATTTCTCTGTCAGAGCACCCCACGGCCGGAACAGTCTAGAAAATCTTGCAAGGGCTGCTGTGTCTGCTGTTATCAAACTTGTTCTCAACATCTCTCTTTAATAATAGATCTTTTATTTTTTTTTTTTTTGAGGCTATAACATATATATATCTGAAATGAAACAAAACAAAATCAAATCCTGAAAGACAAGGGTTTTCCTTACACAAAAGTAAAATGTGTTTCACATTTTATGTGCTGGACTTGGTCCAAATTAAATAACCTGGGAAAGTCATTAAATGCATTTAAGAGTTTAAATACTGTTGCCCATTGTTCCTCCTCTCTGGGTAAGCTTTACGACCTAAAAGAGCTTATTTTTAAAAGAGTTTATTTGGGTACAAAAAGTGTTGTAAACCCTTGTTGCTTACCTGCAGATTTTGTCTGATGTGCTACTGTTCCCTGTCTATCCCAACTTCTTGCTTCTAGAATCTTGAAGGAATGTTTGATAATTAGTTTTTTTCTTCCTGTTTGGTCCAAGACAGCTTCTGAGACAAACCCAGGGGTCTAGTAAAGATATTTTGTCTTTAAACTGTTGTGACTTATCTTTCATATATTTTAATCTAGCAAAAACACAGAGTTAGCATTGAAACATGAAAAATCATTGTTCCCCTCCCCCGTAATGGTGATGACTTCTTGTCTGTAGACCCATGAATGGACTGTGGACGGGAAACACAATTATTCTTAAGCAATTTACCAATTTTAGTGAAATGCTTTAGCAGTTACCTACACATGAATATGCCAGATTTACGTCTTTTAGGTGGTAATGTATAATAAATGGTAAGCCATGGTGACCAGACGTCCAGGGATGTGTTCAGAGTCACAGTTTGTCTCTGTTGTCCTCTAACATTTTTTTTTTCTTTCTGCAGCTATGTGGCATCTTGATCCTGGGAGCAGCAATTTGGATACGAGTTAGCAAAGATGGTCAAGAGGTAAATAAATAGATAGAAGCTTCTCTGCTCCCAAAGTAGTTTATTTCTCTTATAGTGATGAAAGTAATGACAATAATAATATAAATATTTCCATAGCCTTTTCCTTAACTGCCTGATGTAGTCCTTTGTGCTGGTATATGATTTTATAATTTAATTCAATTTAATTAATCAAAATTACTCACTATGTGCCTGGCACTGTGCTAGGCATGGATCAATCCTTCTGGAGAATGGAGAGGTGTTATTTCAAAGATAGGAAGATTGCCATGAACGTGGAGTTCAGAAGGGGCTAGAGTGGAAATCCAGCTCCTTCGTTATTGGCAGAAGGCCGGCCTGAAGTGTAGCTGGAGGATACGGGGTACCATTCCTCCACACCAATGACTCTAGTACGAGGTACTGACCATCATTCGGCTGATCCCAAGGTGGGAGGGTGGTCCAAAAGTAAAGAAGATGAGAAGTTCTCTTGGAGAAGAAGAATTTGAATCTGTGTTTTAAAGGCAACAAGGTACAAAGATGGTTGGTAATTACCTGTGCCAACCGGCATCGAGGGTGACTCCTCAGAATAGTAAGGGGCTGGTCCCGCTAGGGTGACTCATTGGCTGGGGGTGTCCAACCTCTTGCTATCTAGATAAGATTAGCACGAGCCCCTTCACCATGCCCCACTCCACGCCCTTGGCAAAGCTCTCACCAAGATGTCACAGGTCAGGACGAAGTTTAGTTCAGAGAGTTAATTCTGGCTCCAGTGTTTGGATCGGACGCCTGCGTGCTGTTTCTGTTCTGCACCACATACACCTTTGCGGACGTGAGAGAGTGCCTGAGGGAAAAAAGGAAGGCGCGGGCTTCTTCTTTGGTTTTACCCAACACAACAGCTGGCATCATTTCCTGGCTCCCCTGCTTCTGTTCTACTCTCCCCCTTCTTCTCTGGGGCACTCCACCCCCCAAATTATTATTCTTAACTGCATGCACGGCACTTCCCTTATTCTTTGTGGTCTGGGCCCTTGACGCTATTCAGGATCCCATCTTCCACTGCTAGAGCCTTTTCAAGGTATTTATTTGCCCAAATAAAGTTTCTGCCTCTAAGAGGAATTTTGATCCTTATTTGATAATTATTAAGATATATTAAGCCAGCAATTAAAGTAATGTATTTTCTACAAAAACTTATTATGCCGTGATGAAGCTAAATGCCTTTGGAGACAGCCTTGTTGTAAGAAAGATTAAAAGCAAATTAACATCTATTCTGATTCCTTTCCTCAACTGGGTGGCTTTTCTGCCTCTTCCTCCCTTCATGCCTGCCTGCCTTCTTTCCTTCTTTCTTCCCTCCCTCCCTCCCTCCCTCCCTCTCTCTCTCCCTTCCTCCCTCCCTCCCTCCTTTCCTTCTCTGTCTCCTCTTCTCTTTTTAAAATCGGCTTTCTACCCTTGGAGAACCCAAGGAATCACAGTAGCCGTTACCAGCTTCCTCATTGTGTGCCTACCCACGGTGACGAAATTGGGTGGGGGACAGGTGTGGCAACTAGTTGGTAACATCCTAGCCCATCTGGATTTCATTTCTGGTTTTGTACTGATAAATGTTAACTGTGACTTCCTGGTGGCCTTGGGCTCTGGGTTTGAACTCAAGAAGGGTATTTGAAGATGTGCTGAATCTCTGGTGTCTAGAAGCTGATGTTTGACTTTCGGACGCATAATTAAGCATAGACATTAAACAGCCACCTATTCAGAGGGTGCTTTGGCCTTTTTAAGATATGTGTGCAGCCTGTCTTTTATTTTATTTTATTTCTGGTTGATATGGGAACACTTCCTTTCCCCCAAGTGCTTCTGGTAAACAACTTTGGTGTTTAGTCTGTTAAGAAATTCCACACATTGAACGTATTAAAGGAAAATTGCTGTCCTTGAGAGGGTGGGGCTCCACATCTGGGCACATGGAATGAACTCATAGAGTGAGGAAGCATCTTCGGGTGCATTTTGACTCTTGTGCTCTGTCAGCCTCGAGCCCTGGATGAAAGTCTGGATCTGCTGGGACACCCCTAACCAGCTTGACTTCTGTGAAATTGGCTTGATTTATCTTTATCTGAAGTCAGTGACAAAGAATCGAGACTGCAAAGAGCTGAATTTTAGTAGTGGAGAAACAGAGGCAACAGTTTTAGAGGGAAAAGCATTGAGCATGAGGGCAAAAAGAAAGAATGTCCGGGCGGTCTTTGTGCACATCTTTTAGCATATCTCTTCGTGCTGAAAGGGTCTCTCGTTAGGACACTTTGTTTTCCCTCAGGGAAACTCAGTGACCCGAGGCAAAGCCTTTGGCGTAGCCATTCTAGCCTCAGGAGATCTCTTAGAATCCACAGAACACCCTGAGCCCTCTCCCTCAAGGTTCAGCCATTAGAAATTCTCCCTTTGTCTTAACACACACAGACACTGTTCATCCAAGACAGCTTTTAAAACTCTGCTGTCCCCCTCCTGGAGCAAACACCTGAACTCAGATTTCCATTTCTTGCCTGTTGGGCTGGGCTTGGAACAGCAACCGCCCAGGCATCCAACACACTGCTTTCCGGCCAGTCTCTGGCAGGGGATCACGCTGCCCACACCAGTCTTATAGAACTGCCTCATTGCCTGGCTGCACTCTGCTGTCCCACCTGTCAGTATTTGACCTGTTATTTCTGTGTGGCCTGTAAGCCAAGTTCTGACAACTCACACAGTGACTTACCCCTCTCAGACGCCTTCTGGTTTACCTGCAGTGGCCATGACCTTCTAGGGCGGTGTTTGATGGTGAGTGGGGAGAGGGGGTTTCCTAATGCTGCTTTTTTTGGTCATTATCTACTTTGACCCAGGTGCCATGCATGTTTATTAACAAAACCGATTTCTTAGCTCCAATATGAACAAGCAAACAGCAATCAAATAAACAAAAAACCTGAAAAACAAACAAAAAATCTTTAGGACAGAACCAAGCTTTCTAAATATGTAAGTTGAAGCATTACCTGTAAGTATAGACTCTTAGAGACAAAGGGGGCCTCAGCGATTACAGAGGGTGACCCAGTTTCCTTTCACAGGATTAGTTGACTAGTCCAGGGTTAGAACCTTAGTTTATATATAAGGACCCTGACTAGAGTATAAATCTTTGTTTTAATGCTTTTACAGTTTCAGCACATTCCTTCCTATTGATTGTTGAATGAAGCTTTCCTCTAGGCTATGAGCTGGTTTTTAAAGTCTTTAAAAACGTACACATCATTATTAGTAGTTTGTTTGTTTTTTTTTAATGTATTTCCTGTTAAGGGAGCTGACCCACATGCTGTGCAGCAGAATCTAGGAGGCAGAGTCTCTGAGTTAGTTTAACAACGAGTGTTCTCCCTGGAAATAGCCCAGTAGATAGAGATCAGACAAGATGGATGAGGTCCAAGGAGCGCTCATGAAGAGTATAGGCACGAGGCTTCACTTTTCGCTTGTGATTTATCTGGAGGACAAGTGGTAAATTGAGGCTAGGGATCACAAAGGTGATGAAGCAGAGTATGTGTATTGCTGGAGAGAAGAACTGAATTACGCAGGGAGGGCAGCTCAAGCCCATATAAGGAGCCCTAGGATGTTTTCCTCAATATCCCATTGATTAACAGGCAAAATAAAGAGTTTCTGAAGACTCTAAAGACCCTACCTTCTGGGGACAAGGAGATAGAATTCTGTAGAATATCAAGATCTAGACTTATTTTCTTAGTTTAAATATTTTAGTTTGTTTTGACAAGTGTATAGACCTGTGTGATTACTATTACAAACAACATGCAAAGCATTTTTATCAACCCATAAATGTTTACTCATATCCCTTTGCGGTCGGTTCCTTCTTTCCTTCCTGTCTTACTCAAAGTCAAGCACTGCTCTGATTTCTGAGTTACCTATTCTTGAATGTCATATAAATGGAATCATACAGCAATCACTCTTTTGAATATGGCTCATTTAGCTCACCATAATGTTTTTTTAAGATTCATTCATATTGTTGGGTCTCTTGGTAGTTGGAGGAACTTGCCTTTCTAATTTAAATAATTAAATTGCCATAAAAAACACATGCTTTACTATGTGACTCTTATGTATAAAACACAAAATATGCAAACCGAAGGTCACATCACGGATGAAAGTACCTATCCTTCTAAGCTTTTAAAAATAATTGGCATTTTAGGGGCGCCTGGGTGGCTCAGTTGGTTAAGCGACTGCCTTCGGCTCAGGTCGTGATCCTGGAGTCCCGGAATCGAGTCCCGCATCGGGCTCCCTGCTTGGCAGGGAGTCTGCTTCCCCCTCTGACCCTCCTCCCTCTCATGCTCTCTGTCTCTCATTCTCTCTCTCTCAAATAAATAAATAAAATATTTAAAAAAATAATAATTGGCATTTTAAAAGCCTATTGCATTTCTTACATACAGCATCCAATATATCATCTTAGAAAAATATAAGTTGGAAATGTTATTCAGGTAAGTAACACCCCAATAGAATGTAAGTTCCTTGAAAGCAGGGATTTTTTTGCTTCTGTAGATCACTGAAGTATCTCAAGGTGCTAGAATAGGGCCTGGCACATACTAAGTACCCAGTGTATATTTGTTGAACAACTGACATCGAAGAAAGGGATTTTCTGTCATTAATCTCTTTTTTATTTTCAGATTCTCAACTCTGGGGATTTTGCCACTAGCTCCTATATTTCTGTGAACATCTTGATTGCTGTGGGGTCTATCATCATGATTCTGGGTTTCCTGGGATGCTGTGGCGCCGTTAAAGAAAGCCGCTGTATGCTTCTCTTGGTGAGTTCTCCAGACAAAACACAATACCCAGCCTTCGGACTTCTGAGGATTGTCTGTCAAAAGGACTTGCCAAGATTGATGAAACTCTAACTTTCATTTAGGGGAGTTGATTATAGAAGCTAATATTTTTAGCTTAGATTAGAGGATGCCTGAGAAATTTTAGTCCTTCCTTCCTTGTTTCTTTCCGTCCTTCCTTCCTCCCTCCCTCCCTCCTTCCTTCCTTCCTTCCTTCCTTCTTCCCTTCCTCCCTCCCTTTCTCCCTTCCTTCCTTTCTTCCTCCCTTCCTTCCTTCCTCCTTTCATTCCTTCCTTCCTTCCTTCTTCCCTTCCTCCCTCCCTTTCTCTCTTTCTCCCTTTCTTCCTCCCTTCCTTCCTTCCTTCCTTCTTACTGAGTACCTGCTGTATATCAGATACTGTGCTAAAAGATACATAGACATTAAGACAATTAGAACCCATTAGGGAAGACTGACAAGCCAACTATTAGCTACAGTGTGAATGGCCCAAGAAGAGGAGGACAAGGGTAGAGGAGAGAACTTTCAAGCTGGAAGCAGAAATGAGAAAGGTGTTTGTGTGGGTGAGGGGGTGATGGGCTTTCCAGTGAGCGAGGCTGGCCATATGATGCTGGCACGTTTAGGGTATGACAAGGCCTTGGGTATGGCTGGAGTGTGACAGAGGCTGTTTTTAGTAAATGATGGGAGATGGGTCTGAGTATGGATGGCGCCAAATCATATTCCACGTTAACAAAATTGTAAGAGGGAGGTAATCAGATTTGTCGCTTAGAAAGCTTCAAGGAAGATGGATTGGGTTGGGATAACCCACAAACATTTACTTTTAACATGTGCAGTAGAAAATAATAAATGGATGTAGAAAAAAATATTAGAAAAAGATCATGACATATTTATTAGATAAAATCTAACATTAGCATTTACAGGGCTCATTTAAGCTTGTTTCTCTCATAAAATAAGTATTATTGTGTCTGTCCCTGAAAGATATTTTGTAACAGTTTGTTTATTATGAGGGAAGGTAAAGACAGAGCTTAACAGGATTTTAATAGTATCCCTAGTGGTTGCCTTTTGGTATATAAGGCCTCATTTCTAATTTGGGAGATTTAATTACTCGAGGAGCTTGTTTTAAAGAGAGAAAAACCAATTTATGGGCTGCATTCTTTAAAGTTATAATTTGGTAGGGTGGGAGGATGGGTTAGCCTGGTGATGGGTATTAAAGAGGGCACGTTCTGTATGGAGCACTGGGTGTTATGCACAAACAATGAATCATGGAACACTACATCAAAAACTAATGATGTAATGTATGGGGATTAACATAACAATCAAAAATTTTTTAAAAAGTTATAATTTGGTAGATCTGAGACAGGTTTCAGGAGTGTACATTTATAACGGGATCCCAGGTGATTCTGCTAGCCGTAGAAAACTTGTTTTGAACTCACTCTGAAGTTTGTTTTAAAGTTTGTGCGAGTTTGTGTTTGATGAAGAGAAAGAAGTAGAAAGATAATATTCAGATAATTGCATCTAAATGTTCAAACTTCCCTCCATTCCACATCACATTGATGCCTACAATCCTATCAATAAATTTTTGTTTTAACCACTTGGCTTGGTCAGTGTTTGAAGCAAATGTTTTTGACTACTAATGGCCCCCAGATTGGCTTTTTGAGGCAAAGGGTAGAATAAATGAAGAACGCGGTTATTATTCCAACTGTAATACAATCCCGACTGCAGAAAAAAGTGCTAAGCCCAAATGTCCCAAGATGTGACTGAATGCCCTGGGAATAATATGTATTCCATTTCTTTTTTTTTCTTTCAGTTTTTCATAGGCTTGCTTTTGATCCTGCTCCTGCAGGTGGCAGCAGGTATCTTAGGAGCTACTTTCAAATCTGACGTATGTACACATGATATTTGATAATTTTGGAAAAGTCTGAAAAATCAAAATACTACCTTCTGGCACGAATAATTTAACAATGCTTTTCAATTTTCAGTCTGAGCGCGTCCTGAATGAGACTCTCCATGAAAATATAAAGCTCTTAAGTGGAACAGATGAGGAGGCGCAAGCATTCCAGAAAGCCCTGATGAAATTTCAAGAAAAGGTAATTGGAACCTATAGGCCATCTGGGTAATTGGGCGTCGGTTTTATGTTTACTTAATTTTTAACAGGCGTATTCCTTAACATAAAAACATGTCTCCATTTTGCAGATTTTGACTGACTATTCTGTCACTGTGCAATAAAAGAAATCCAAGAATATTTCTAACTTTGTTTCCAGCTTCTTATAAAGTTCTGAAGCAGTTTAGAAGGACAGAGATTAAGAAGATATGTTTATGACCAATTAAGCCTCAATTGGACCAAATCAATAGTTGTTTCATATTTACCATTTAGCGGGGTAGTGTGTTTGGGGCATTTGGAAAGTCTCTCTCTTTCTCTCTGCCTCCATGTTTGCCCCCCTCTGTCATAAAAATAACTACAGGTATCATTTACTGCTACTTAGTATGTACTGGGCCTTACATTCAGTAGCTCATTTAATTTTTATGACAACTCTTTGAGATGGATCGTATTATCTTTACTATCCCTCTTTTATAGATAAGGAGGTTAGGTCTTGGAAGGGTCTGACAGCTAATGAGTAATGAGATTGGAATTTGAAACCAGTTGTCTGACTAGTTATTTTTTTATAACTGGTATACCAGCCCCTCCCTAATTTACTTATTGAAGTTGCTTCTCTGTCTTTAGGGTAAAGTCAAAACTTGGGCAGGCGTTGAAGGTATTATACTCTCTGGCTCTTACCTAGTATTTTAATATTAGTAAACACTACTCCATAAAAATAAAACAAACAAAAACAAAAACAAAACAAAACAAAACAAAAGCCCACCACTCTAGTCCAGTCAGGTTCCTCTACTCAAGATCCCTTAAACAGTTCTGTCTTCCTATCTTGGCATCATTCTCTATTGTGGAAAATACTAATACTTTTCTCTTTCTTCCCAAATACTACATGTACCTCAAGACTTGACTACAATATTACTTACTCTGTGAAACTCCTAATCACTCCTTCTTTATTCAGAATTCCCATCGTATGAACTACATGTAGCATTCAGTTCACAAGTTAGGGAAATTCTCAGAATCTTAGAGGACAGTTGGACTTTGTAGGGCCTTTAACTTGACTTCTCACTGATTGAAGTATTTTATATTTATGTTCATCCACTCTCTAAACATTGAGGAATTGAAAGTTCATCAGTTTTTGCCCATCCTATCCCATTTATATCTAAGTCTGATGATTAGTATGTTCTTTCTTAATTTGAAACAAAACCTGACTCCCTAGGATTTACATCATTTAGTCCTAGTTCTTCCTTCTGGACTTTCAGAGGAAAAAGAAAATCTACTGATGCTTCAGCACATTGCCACTTTTACTTTGACAGTGGCTATCGTATGACTTCTAAAAGCTTTGCTTTTTAAGTTGAAACATCCTTAGTTTCTTGAACTATTTATCAGATGACTTTTTTTTTTTTCCAGAGCATTCCCAGTTCCTGTTTGAATAGACTCCAGCTTGTAAAAATTCTGCTTAAAGCATCATTTCCAAGAGCTGAAACCTGATAGGAGTCAGTCTCTGTTTCACTTCCTCTGTGGTGTGCTTTTCCCAGCTTCCCCAATAGCTGCATTTCTTGATCCTCTCCCCTCTAGCATCCTACTCTGGAGCCCAGATCAATCGAGGTTTAAAGCAGGAAGAATTTAAGCAACTCAATTCTTCCCCTGGGTGGGACTGAGCATCCTTGATCCTCCCTGGTGGTTGACCTAAGACAAAATGTACTATAGGTGACCACTGGATCTCTGGACTGAGTCCTGAATCACACTTGCTGCACATTGTCCCTGATATCCAAGGTCTCAGTACCAACCACGGAGTTCTAAATGTTGTTTATTGTAGCACAGTTCTGAATTACTTCCATTCTTGTACACTAATCCTATGCCTGAAGCTTCCTATGTTCATAGAACTACAGTTCTTTTTTAATGTCCATTTTGAGTTCCTTCCTTCCTTCCTGCTTTACTTCCTTCCCTCCCTCCATCCCTCTCTCCCTCCCTTGCTTTCTCCCTCTCTCCCTCTCTCTCTTTCTCTCTTCTTCTCTTCCTTTCTTTCTTCCAATGCATGGGGTCAGAGTGGGAGTGACAGGTGGGTAGGGTGCTGGGCTCATTTCTACAGAGCTGAACCATGTGCAGTGAGAAAGCATCCCGTCGTATTACATCCGCTCCTGATGATCCGCTTTGTGCATCCCCCTCCCTCCGTCCCTCCCTTCTTCCTCTCTCCACCAGGGCTTTTCCTTTTTAGTAATGCTTTTTTTTGGAAAAAGAATCCTACACCAAACTCTGGCTGGATGACTTGGGGCCCCACCATACATGGATAGAAGTTGTAGATACAAAGTGGTTTTCTCTTTGGATTTCAGAGAATTCCTCCCATGAATCCTCTGCTAACATACTAATGGAATGTGCTCCTCTTGGATTCTTGGTGATGACTCTTTGTCTAGAGGTTGTTGTATTATTCACTGCACAGTGCCTTGTTCATCCAGCTGTGATAACACTTTCAAGAAATCCTGACCAACTTCTTCCTCGACTTCTCTCACATCTGATCCGGTGACCAGATATCATACCAACTTTAGCCTTTCTACCTCCTACCATGTCTTCTGTTTCTAGGCCTCCCTAAGGAATCCTGAGGTATACTGGGTGTCAGATATGGACTGATCTGTGAGTGCATATAATGGGACTTTAAAAAAAATCCTGCTCTCTATATCAATTAATATTATTCAAGATTATTTAGTCAGAAAGCATGAGCAATTAATCATGTCTACCATGGAAACAGGAAAGGAAGTTATTTCAAGATTGCCCTCTTTGCTCATATTGATTGACTTTGGGGCCAAATGAAATCTTTCACTCTTTGTCATATGAATGTCTGCTGAGTCATGTATTTGTATAATTAAGGCTTTGAGCCGAAGTGCAAGACTTTATATCTGCTTCCACTGAACTTGTTGGTTTGAGTCCATTGTTTGAACTAACTTTGGAACTTGATTCCATTCCCCAAAGCATTAATCATCACTGCCAGCTCTGTATCAACTACAGAGTTGAAAAGGTACTTTCCAAATACTTATCTGAATTATTCATATCAGTGTTGAACAGAGCATAATGGAAATGGCAACAACCACCACAAAATAACAGCAACAATAGCTAACACATACTGAGTACTTTCTACAAGCCAGGCACTGGGCTAAGCACTTCATATCTTCACAAGAATTTTCCCATTTTTTTTCTTTACAACAAATCTACAACTTACATATACTGTGAGCAACTACTATTATCTGCATTTTACAGATGAAGAAACTGTGGCACAGAGAGGTTAAGTAATGGGGGTAATGTGGTCACCCAGCCAGTAAGTGGAAGTTTTTTCAATATCCTGGCATTATAATGCATCTGAGCCTAGAAAACCATGTAGTCTTTGTTCTATTTTCTCCAGCAATTTTTTTCTACCTTTTCTTCATGAAGAGTTGTCTTTCTAATAGATTAAATAGAACAAGATGAGGGACAGTTACTTCTTTCTTTCATCTAATCATATGGTGTTCCATATACCCTGAATCATGATGTTTATTGCTTCCTTGTTTTTCCTTCCCAAAACATGACCATAGATTCCTTAAGTGTTTCCCCACATTTCAGTATATTCTGGGCCTTCCTTGACATTATTTTAAGAGTTTCATCCTTCATTTGCATCCCTCCCCCATTTTGCTGATGTCCATGTAAAATTCAGCTTTACGGGAGGCTCACTAATAGGCATCTTCTTTGGCCTTTGAGAGACCTCTCACTCTTTTCCTCCTCTCCTCCAAAAATGATCAAAGATCATGAGATGGAAATTTCATCTTTTAAAACCTCTCCTCTCTTTTGAACAAAAGTTCTTTAAAGAGAACTTGATTTTCTCATGAACTCTTTGGAAACTTCTTTCCCCAAATCTAGGATACATAGATCTGATTCATCCCCTCTCTTTTATCATTTAAAACTAGGTAAATTTTTCATCTTTTCTCCAACATCCTCAGACTTGTGCATCTGCAATCCTATTTTTCCTTCATTAATATTAAGACCAAAATGGAAGATTCCTTCATTTTTGCTTCTACATCCAGAGAAGTTGGTGAGGTGATTTACATGACATTTTAGTATAGGAAACATCTTAATAATGGTTCCAGAAAAATAGGATTCAATGTATTGACAATGTTTTTTTTATCTTCTTTGGTGATTGTTTTTTTATATCTACTTTTCATTAAACAGTTTAAATGCTGTGGTTTGGTCAATGGAGCTGCTGACTGGGGAAATAATTTTCAAAACAATTATATGTCATGTGAATGTCCAGGTCCGTCAGAGTCTTCTTGTGTGACGTATGAAGGCAAATATGTTTACCAACAGGTGAGAACAAATCAAATTTGACACAGTAAATAGTTCTGTTAATTTTTTTCCACAATGAGTCTTTACAAAAAAAATTAAATTGCAAGCAATTACAATGGGAATAATGATATAAACGTCCCAGGAATTTCCCCCCGCCAAAAAAATTTAAAGATAAAAGCAGATATAAAAAAGTGAAAGTATTTCATTTTTTTCTATGAGTCTGATATCATTTAAAGTCAACATTAATAGATCAAAGAAATCCACTGCAAGGAGAAGGAAAGTACAAGCTAAGTGATGAAAGTTATCTCATCCTCATTAATAATGATTAATGGCTTTAATCATTATTCTTCTCTATTTTTTCTATTTTAACATAAATCCTAGAAATCTATATTTTCACTTTAGTTTGCAAAATAAAGATTTCTTTTTCTTATCAAAGGTTCCTTTTCTCAAGTAATTGTGTAGGTATAAAGACTTGACCTTTAGGGATTTGGCTCTGGATGTTAAGTGTATCAATCAACTTGCCTAATTATTGCTCCAATTGAGAAGTTGCCTCAGACATTTAAAGTCAATTGAAAAAGCTGGGTTTGTCTTTTATGTACTGTAGATGTCATATTTATGTCACTTGTAGATGTCAATATGTGAATGTTATATTTCTTGTTATTGCTTAATTCATCAAATATGACTGACCACCTCCTATGGGCCAGGCCTTTTACCAGCCACTGGAAATCCATTCCTGACAGGCACAAAGTCTGCACTCATGGAGCTGTTGCTCAAATAATGAAAAGAGAAAGAAAACGAGGCAACTTCATTTCAAGGAATTATTGGTATTTCTTAGATAGGGACAAGGTATTACGGGACCCTATCTAACACAGTCTTCAGGGTTCACGGATTTAATATCTGTCCCTTACCACAGGGCTTTACATAAATTGTTCCTTCTGCTTGGGAGGAATGCATAGGAAAATGATAATTGATATTAATGTTTCATTTATTTGCTGTTATTCTTCAGTGCTCACTATGTATCAGACAGGCCCTTGCTAAAATCACACATACTTCTGGACCCTCCAAGAGATTATAATCTAGTTGAGAGAAAGATGCGTAAAAGCTATTATATGTCAATGAACTAATTTCTGTAATACCTGAAGATTATTTTCATTTTGACATTGGTGTAGAATTGGCTATTGAGGTTAATTATATAGTAGGAAGTAGAAAGTATCTTGGGGGATATCTCTCTCCCGCTGGCTGTCACATTCCTTTTGCTAATCTCACCAAAAATCAGGAGACTCTGTTCTAAAGGGGAATTGCTGTTACTAGTACTTAACATAATTCACGGGGAGAAGTTATCCCAACCAGACTACAGAGCAACCATGTTTTTTATTGTCAAAGTAGTATCATTAAACAGTTTCATTCTTACTTTTTATATTCCTTCCGACCTAGTTTAGAGATGTGATATCTGCGAGGAAAGAGGGGAAATAAATATGGTGTAAATGAATGCAGTTACCACTTAGGATGATGAGGACATTAGTAAATTCAGTTGCAGATTGTTATCTGTTGCCTGTTAAAGATTCCAATTTGAAGATGTTTTTCCGCAGGATAGATTTTTTTATCCTAAAGAGTAATAGACATTCCCTCCAAATTCACACATAATTCAGCAGAAGATAGGCTGAGAGCTGCACCAGGTTCCCAAAAAGAGGGTCATAAATTCATAAACGACATCCATCTGCCTTCTGTCATTTGCAAGAGGTCTGGAAAAATAAGAAATCTGGAATGGCCATAATTCACATTTCTTTCCACCCCCACCCTTTTGCCAAGATAACCTGGTTATCTGCAGGGGACAGGGGGAGAAAACTCCTCAAATATAATGAATGTGACTCAGTAGATAAGATCATTAATCTCATGGTTAACCCTAAATGACATAATAATTTACTCTAATATTTACCACTTTGGATCAGATGTGAATGGAGAAACCCATTACATTCAAGAATGAGAGGGAAAAGACTGTTTTACTCAGCCTTATGGAGAACTTTTATTTTATTAACCATAGCAATATTTTGTTAGCCCTCTGTGCATGTAAGACTATCACAGGGATGATATATTTTCTGGCAATACAGATAATACCACTATTACATTGTGTAGTATTTTTCCATTTTGAAAATTATCCATATAATTTACAATTGTTAGAATTTCTAGGTCTGGCCTGAAATGTTATAAGCTTGAAATTGCATGCTAGTTTGACTATATTTCAACAAATGTGGCAGAGAGGCTACTTTCTAAATTCTCGTTTTTATCTGAAGTAAAGACAAAATAGTGGACATAATAATTTTTTCCTTTTTAAAGTAAAAATAACCCTGATACAAATTATTAGGGGATTTTTTTTAAAAAACCTTGTTTTAAAGATGAAAATTTGTGCTACAATTAGCTGAAACCCCAACCAGGGAACTCTTTGCTGCAGATTACAAGCCTAAACATACACAAAGTGATAATAGCTCTAAAATGAATAATTGAAAGTTAGGATAAAATTATTACTTATACCTAAAGATCCCTAGATTTAGCAATGAGATAGTTGAAGCAAAATTTTACTTCTTGGTGCTTTCTAACATATGAACAAGCCACAGTTAACAACCTTTTGGAGCAGGGTGGAGTGTCACATGGTGGAATGGCAGAGTGGGATAAGCCAATTCCTTTTTGTTGACTGTGTTCCTCTGTAGCAATATAAAAAGTCAACCCAAAGTGTGTGTGGGGGGGAAATCTTAATTAAAATAAGGTCAAAATTTTGATTAAATGTAACTTTTTATGTTTTGTTTTGTTTTTTAACAGCCATGCATTTCTTTCATAAAAGAAATAGTTGCGAAACATTCTCTCATAGTTATTGGAATAGCATTTGGACTGGTGGTTATTGAGGTACAGTATAACCTTGCATTGTTGACTCTTCATTCATTCCCTTGTTTCTTCATTAATTAATTCCAACAAATATTTATAGTAAGCCAAATATAAACAAGGTGCTTGAGAAAAACACTGGGTGCCAACTGCCCACAGTCTAGCATCTTTCTCTAGCAGTCTTCGGTCTGGGGAGAGGATTATAATCTATCAATTCAGCAGGGCTGAAACCATTATTTATGAATAATCTCTCCACTGGGAAACAAAAATTGAATTAACTTCCACAGTTCTTAGTCCCAGATATCCTTTTCCTGTTGAAAACTAGCCCAAGAGTTAAAGTTTCCTGAAGTTAGAAGAAAAAGTACCAAACAAAACCAAAACATGAGCTTTACAATTTCTTATCTCTCTTCCCGATTTTGAAGCAGAAAATAAAAATTCAACTCAAGAGTGTGGGGAGCTCTTTTCCTGCTGTTCCGTCTAGAGAAATCTAGCAATTTTTAAAAACTAGAGACATGTGCCTTAAAGACTATGGGCTCACTTGAAGAAGTTTTAGAGGAAATTTGAGATTTATATATTTACTCTCATCATTTTGATTATTGGTGTTGAAAAAAGTCCCGTATAGGATTTTTATCTTGATGGATTTTCTTGACATGACTTTTTTAAGAACCTGAAGATGCTTTCTACATGGCCTAAAATTCTTTGCTAAAAAGATGAAATAAAACTATTTCAGAGAAGCATTTTTGGAATCATTCCAGATCTTGGCTAATTTAGATATCAAGTGAGTCAATTCACTCTTGATCCCCTGTCAGGACATTGGCAAGAATCCTAATGACGTGTAAGGTGCTTTCCTGCTTTTTACCCCTGAGGGCAGGTTAGGTCAGATGAGTTAACTTCTGCTTCACTCTCATAGATTGCTATACAGTGTCCTCCCTGGGATTTCTGGTAGCTTTCTACCTCTTACTTGTGCTACTTTACCGAACAGAGAGGAATTTTAGCTGGGATTGAAGCAATTTAGTGTTCTAAGTGGACTTTTAGGTTACTAGTAGAGTTTGAACAGCAAGTTGGGCTGTTGAGTATGACTTCCTTGCAGTCCACATTAATAGGTCTAAGTACGACACATTCTGTGTCAGTAGATATGACTAACTTTCTTTTTGTCTGATATATGATGGACGTCAAATGGCGCTATGCACAAGGTCTGTTTCTCTTTTGATTCTGCCTTTTGTAAAATGTCCTTTGCTGCTTTGCCTTGTATTTTGGGTTCATGCAAGTTTAGAAATAATGAGCTAATGGTTGTAGAGATGAGTAAGGAATCACACACAGATGTACTCAGACATTTATAAGCATAAAACACATGTACGTATATGTTGGTGGATATACTTTAAGTGACTGATTGAAAGATCAGGCTTTGAATGAGGTGTTCATTGTAAGTGTCAATAGAAGTGTCAAATCCATGTTAGACTTGAATTCAGACAATTGACTATGACTGGCTATAAACCACTGATGCTTTTAAGAAACTTCTTGGAAGCAAATCTGGAGAAAATAAGGACATAAGCAACTGGGAAGATCAATGTCTCTCATACCATAGCCAAAGGCATTGCCAAGAATCTAAGTACATCTAATGGAAAATAAGATTACAAGAGGAATAGCATTTCAGTATTTTGTGAAATTGGTATATTCCATGTGTTTGATACATATTTAGATATTTTACTGGTTGTTCTAAAGACATATATAGGAAAAGACCTTAGTAGAAAACTTCCATGGAGTAATTTATAGTAATTTATATGGAATTTATACAGTAGTATATAGCAAAGAGTTGGTTCAAAGAACTGTTTGCCATTTTGTGTTGTTCACTCCCTCAATCTAAACCTGCCTTCCCTCTAGGATTTGAAGAGAAAAAAATCATTTTATATTCCCTCTCTTTTAATTCAAAAAGGAGCTTTGAAAATATCCAATCTATAAAACTATATCCAAAAAATGTGCATTAGTCTGTCTTATAGGCATTAATACTAGTTGCCTAACAGGCCTTTATCCATTGTTTCCCAAATTCAAATTCAAGAAAACACAAATATACATAGAGAGAAAAATCCCTCTAATAACTATTTTTGAGAAGGAAATAGAAAGAAATATCTTCCTGCAGAAAATATATTCAAACTATTTCCATAGACAAATATCACACACACAAAAAATCACCCTCTGACATTTAGACCTCTGATGATAATCTGCTTAGGCCCAGGCTGGGCCAATAGTTATTTTCAAGGCTCTGTTAAGACCACGTCCCTGAGGGATTTTTCTCGGATAGGATGTCAGGCATCAATGCAAAATGCTTTATTTTGTAAGAAAATTTTATCTCTAGGCACTGCAATTCTCATTATTCAGCATTAAATAACCAGACTATCGTATGTCTCCTTATTTGACTACACAACTTAACAGCACAAAAAATGAGCAGCCCTTCCACTCCTCATTTTAATTGCGGGGGGAAAAAAAGACATTGACAATGATCGTCATCACTGTGTAAGATAAACATTATCTTGACAGGAGGTCCTAGGAACAGAGAGAGAGAGAGGGAAATGAGAATTTTATAACATTTTTTGGACTGCCTCAGAATACGGAAACTCATGCACACTACTTAGCACGTTTATCCCGAGTCTTAGCATACATCACTATGTGATGAATCTCTTTTAATTATTTTGGTTTTTATGAACAGTGGTAAATTATCTTTTCCAATGCAAGAAAGTGTGATATTAACTGTCTACTCTGCTGATGAATGGTGGACTTCTATTTCAAGGATGTGACAGTGAACGACAATAGAGAGTTGCCTTATCCCAATATTTTGGCCATTTTCTTTCTTTCTTTAATTAATAATTAATTAATTTATTTATTGCCCATTTTCTTTCCTCTTTCCTGATACTTGTCTCCCAGACTGAAGGCTTGGGACCAAGGCAAAAAAAAAAAGAAAAAGAAAAAAAAAGAAATTTCAGGGCTTTTCCAGGTCATTCTAAAAGAACATTATGGATGAAACTTGTTATTTTTGCAGAGAATTGGTATCTACTGTTTTATTTTTAAGAAGGAATAAATATTGGGCAGCAGTTCTAGTTTGAAATGCATTTCCAGGAAAGAATTAGTAAGCAGGATGCCTCAGTACAGTAGGAACACTCAGGATGACTCAGCATAAATGGCACCTCACTCCCTTCCTGCCTCTGGTGGGGAGGAAACTTTCCATCTGTAATACACACGGGTCCTTTCCATCATTTCTGCATCGAAGCCACAGCAGGGCCAGGCACTGACTGCAGAGTCAAGGAGGGCACGTTTTGGGGCCCCTCATTCTTGGGAGAGCCATTTAACGAGATGGAAATTATGCCCCAGGTTTTCAGCTGTGCTTTTTCACTTCAAAGGAAATTCCTGAATTAAGCTATTCCCCATAGATTTAGAAGCATTTTAAGAAAAAAAAGTGACTTTCTTCATTCCTCTTGGCAATGCCTAAAAATACGGCAGGAGAAATTCTAGACTCCTTGATTTTATGCACATGATCTAAACCAGATGATCATATAACCCTTCCATGGAAGCAGTAGGTATATTTAGCCCCCAGAGGCCTGAGTTCTCCAGAGCTCCAGGGTAGATGCCCCACAGAAGGGTGTGTGTTCGAGAAGGATGGGGTGCTCTGGGGGCAGCCAGTACTGCCCAAACAGAGCCAGTTAGAAGTGGATTGGCTAGCTAAAAACTCTGATTAAAACACAAAGATACTCAGAGAGCTTTCCCAATGCTCTTTTGTCCCACTGGAGGCTCCAGTTTCCCAAGCAGAGAGATGACTTAGATAAATAAGATTAGAACTGTCAGGAGCCAGAATCTTTTCATGTGTAATGTTCTTTCTGTCTATTTATAATGTCTCCAGCATTTTAAATTCCATGTTAATCTTGTTACTTTATTTTCTAGGTACTTGGTCTGGTATTTTCTATGGTCCTGTACTGCCAGATTGGGAGCAAATGAGTCTGTGGATGTGCCGAGCTATCATCCATCAAGCCCCTTTAACATTTTGCTTTGACTTTGTAACTTTGAATATACAAGTGCTGTACACATTAGGAGCGGCTGTCTTATTAAAATGTTTCATTTAGATATATCACAGGTATCTTCCAGACATACTGAACATATTTAAGATGTGAGTGACACAAGGAAAATGATATGAATGTGATTTTTACTTAAGATAAAAATAACCTTGTTTATGCTGGTGTATTTCCGTGTCTGATCATTGTGTTCAGGTGGTACTGTGCTGAAAACATTCATCTGGAGCCACCCAGTGGATTAATCGTCATTGTTAAGTGACAGATAGTGCCATAGTTAGTTAAAGCAGTGGATCTGGGCTTTTCAGAAGCAACACTCTCTTTTGTGTGGTGTATCAGCCATTGGTGGTAACATTAAGTTGAACCTCAAGTTGAAAAAGTTGAGAGTGGCCCAGCTGAAAGAGTCAGCATCTCTTTTCTATTTGGGCTACTGTTTACTAATGGTATCTCTTTTTTCTCCTAGCTATTGAGGCAGGGGTGGGGCAAGAAGATCTGAGTGCTGTCTTTTAGTCTTTGAATCTCTGGTACCTCTTTGGATCTTTCTCTGGGACATGGATATAAGTGCTTTTATCTTTCTAGTTCTTACAGGCATTTTTACATTTTACTTTTTATTTAGGTATAATATACACACAATGAAGTGAACAAATCTTTTTTTTTTTTTTTAAAGATTTTATTTGTTTATTTGACAGAGAGAGACACAGCGAGAGAGGGAACACAAGCAGGGGGAGTGGGAGAGGGAGAAGCAGGCTTCTCGCGGAGCAGGGAGCCCGATGCGGGGCTCGATCCTAGGATCCTGGGATCATGACCCGAGCTGAAGGCAGACGCTTAACGACTGAGCCACCCAGGCGCCCCAAGTGAACAAATCTTAAGACTCCAGCCGTGCAAGCACTTTCCAGATCAAGAGATAGAACATTTTCAGCACACCAGAATGCCCCTTCATTCTGACGTGCAGGAGCTGGCTCACACCAGCTCTCCAGGGCAGATTGTATATATAACATATGCTCAGTGACATCACGTTGGTAGCTTGAAATCCACCGTGGTGGGAGGATTGATACCATGGAAATTGGAAAATGCTGTAAAATCAGGATTTTTTTTTTCTTTTTTTTTGAGAGTTTGTTGGTAATCATTTACCAGTATATCACTGCTCTCGGCAAATACCTCCCCAAAGGTAACCACTCTTCTGATTTCTGTGGCCATAGATTCATTTTGCCTATTCCTGAGCTTTCTATAAATGAAATAGTAAAGTAAGTAGGTACTCCTTTTACTCAACATTTTGTTTGTGAGATTCGTCTATATTATTGTATGCAACTCTAGTTTATTCTCGTTGCTCTGTAATATTCCATCGTATATGAATATAATTACAATGTATTTACCCACTCTCCTCTTGATGGGTGTTGGGTTTGCTTCCAGTTTGGTGCTAGTATGAATAAAGTTGCTGTAAACATTCTTTTATATCTTTTGGTGCTTATAGGTACTGATTTCTGGATAGGTATACAGGGGTAGAATAGCTTTGTATTTGTATATTTAGATTTAATAGGTTCTGTCCAAGAAATTTTCTGAAGCAGTTGTGCTTATCCATACTCATACTAGACAAGTAAGGTAGACTTAATCTCCTCTTCTGAGGAGGAGGAAGGGAAAGAAAGGCAGTCATTATCAAATGGATCAGAGTGGGGAAGGAGTGGGAAACGGGCGGCAGGGGGTGCATGGTGGGCTGGGTTGGGCAACCTAATTCTGTGCTCCCCTGTGGCTGATAAAGATAACTATCCTTTTCTGAGCACCTGTCATCACCTGAGAACTATAGCAGAAACTGTACTTTTATTGTCATATTTCTTCTTAACCACATGCTTATGAACTAGATACTATTATCCTCATTTGGCAGGGGAGAAAATAGAGACGTCTGTGAAGTTAGGTAACATGCCTAGAGTAAAGCCATTAGTGATCGGCAGAACTGGGATCCCAACCTTGACAGTTGCCTTCCAAACCTCCCAAACAATTGCCTCCCAAATGGATCATGCTCTATTTGGCTTTCCCATATGTCTATTAATGTACTTTCCCATATGTCTATTAATGTACTTTTATTTTAATCACCTGTTCATGTGTTTGTCTCTGTTAGTATACTGCAACTTTTTGAGGGCATTGATTGTTTCTTATTTTGTCTTTATGTCCCCTGTACCTATCACAGTGCTTACCACACAATAGGTGCTCAGTAAATTATAGCTAAAACTAATACTTAGATTTATTGAGAGCATGCTGTGTGCCTAAAAATAATCAAATCACCTTGCATAGAGTAATTCATTTAATCCAGAACAACCCTCGTAGGTTAGTACTATTGTTTGGCCCACTTTACAGACAAGGAAACCAGAGATGAATGGGCTTAACTAACTTTTCTTAGATCGTGCAGCCAGCAACGGCAAGAGTTGTGATTCAGGGCGCCTGGGTGGCTCAGTTGGTTAAGCGACTACCTTCGGCTCAGGTCATGATCCTGGAGTCCCGGGATCGAGTCCCGCATGGGGCTCCCTGCTCGGCAGGGAGTCTGCTTCTCCCTCTGACCCTCTTCCCTCTCATGCTGTCTCTCATTCTCTCTTTCTCAAATAAATAAATAAAATCTTAAAAAAAAAAAAAAAGAGTTGTGATTCAGTCTAAGTGACTCGAAACCTGGGCTCCTTATGTAATGTCATTTTGCCCAGTGTTGGGAGAAATAGATAAGGAAATGAATATGGAAGTGCCTTTTGCACAGTGTCAGGCACATATTAGGATATTTTATGGTAAACATTTTTTTTATGGTATCAGTGATATAAAGAGCTGTGTCAGGGTAAGCAGGAAAGCATAAAACTCTCTTAGCTATTTCAAACAATGGAAATACAACGCAGGGAATTGCTGTATTAGTCAGCCAGGGCCGCCGTAACAAAATACAACAGACTCAGTGGCTTAAACAATGAATATTAGAGAGAGAGAGAGAGAACTCTCCACTGTCTTCTTTCATTAAAACACTAATGCTAGCAGATCAGGGCTCCACCCTTCTGACCTAATTTAACCTTAATTACTTCCAAATAGAGCCACACTCAGGGTTAGGGCTCAAACATATGAATTGTGGAGGGGGAGGGACGTGGGGTGTGTGTGTGCAAAATTCAGTCCATACCAATTGCTTACACAGATGAAGGAAGAAATAAGCAGCCAAATGGGAAGGCAAGGTAAACCAGAGATTAGCAACTGTGGGGAGTCACTACCACCTTTAGAACTGGAGGGCCAGAGATGGTGTTACCAGATGCCGGGATCCAGAACCACCTGGCAGAAGATGGAACCATGGCAGGGACCACAGAGGAAGGGCTGGTTAGCAAGAGTCGGAGCCACGGAGGTGACTCAGCAGCTATCATCACAACAGAGAAAGGGAGAAGTGCCCTGGATTCTTTCCTCTGGCCCGCTCTTTTGCCAGTACCTCCCGTTGGCTGACCTCATCTAGAAACCCAAGAACAAGGGAGCCTGGGAAATGTAGTTTCCTCTGATACAAAGCCAAGCTAAGAATGTCAAGGACTGGATTGAGCAGATGGAGAAGACTGTCATAGCAACTGGACATTTAGAGAGCAAGCACAAGAGGCCGAACTTTTTGATTAGAGGGTAGTACAATTGTGCAAAGTATAACTGACATTAAAATTTTCATGAGAAATGGTACAGAATTTCCTGATTTCTTTCTGTTTTGATCAAAGTTCAAAGCATTTTAAGGATAGGGAGGACTTCAGAGCAGTTGTTCCTTACTGGGGGCCATCTGTCCCTCAGGGATTATGTGGCAATGTCTGAAAACAGTTTGAGTTGTCACAACAGGTGGAGAAGGGGAACGTTACTGGCATCTAGTGGGCAGGGGCCCGGGTTGCTGCTAAATATCCCATAATGCACAGGAATGTGCCCCATAACAAAGAATTATCAGTCCGAACTCCCCACAGTGCTGGAATTGATTGAGAAAAACTGCTTTAGAATCACATCTGAATAACAAAATATCCTCTTTCCAGGGGACAGTAAAGTGCGTGTTATCATGGAAAGTGAACTGGAGTGGAGTCAGGAGTCATCCTAGACCAGGCTCCAATAGGTTGCTGGCTTTGGGATTTTTGCAAATCACTTAACTTGAAGTTTCCTCCGTTGCAATTAAGAAATTTTATCTAGAAGAAGATATTTATCTGCTTGTGATAGTTCATCAGAGTTTTAATTTTGGTCTTTGGTACTGAAGGTGATTATGAGGGAAACTTTTATTCTCTTATAGTATATTAAAATTAGTTTTAAGAATAAGCTCATACTTTACCTTCATTCCTCCCAGAACAAACCACCATATTCAAAGACATATTAAATTATTTAACAAACATAAAAGAATAAAATAAAAGATAACTGTCATCAAACTGATTATTCAATGTAGATGGAAATGTTTCTTCCAGTTAAGAGAAATGTAGGAATTATGTTCGTTATGCTTAAGACTCTACTGTTGCACTTATTTAGATACAGGTAATTATATTAGATTTTGGCAGATGCTTCCCAAATCTGTCCATTTCTCTGCTTCCCATTGCCACCATCCTATGTGATCTTTCTTACTGCCTCCTGAAGTAGAAACAAGTAATGGTTTACTCAACATCCTTTGTTTCTTTGTCTACCTTACTGGTATATCTTGATTTTGTTGGTGTATAATGAACCCAACTAAAATATTTTGTTTCCCATCACCTACTATAGTGAAACTCCTCTTTCACACACCTAGCAAAGACACAAACTAAGAACACACATAATTAGTGTTTCTCATTTTCCGTGGTAGCAGCCTGATCCCATTTTTAATTATTCTTACAATAATGTAAGAGCATCTTTCAAGAGACTGAATTTACTAGACCAGACTTAGAGCATTAAAGTAGGATTTTATCATTTTGATAAAAGAGATACTGTCTCTCTAGTGCCTATAATCTAAATTGACCAAGAGTCACATAATTTGAACTGTGAACAGTTGGACAAGTGTAACAGGATGACTGTCTTGGGTGATAATGCAAGTCTTTCCCAAACACTTTTCCTTAAGAGCTAGCTCTCTACTAGATAAACACAGCCAGCTGGCAAAGGTGGGATATTGTTCCAGATCGTCTCAAGGTCTGTTTCTGGACTCTTCGTTTGGTTCTGTCCTTGGACTGATACCATAACTGTTGAATGTTATAAGCCTTGATATAAAATAGAATAAGCTCTCTTACTTTGTTGTTCTTCTTAAATGTTGTGGTTATTCTTTGCCCTTGCATTTCTGTAGAAATTTTAGAATCAGCTTGCCAATTTACACACACACACACACACACACAGAGACCTACTAGAATTTTCATTGAGATTGTTCTGAATTTATAACTTAGTTTAGGGAGAATTGACATATTTATAATATTAAGTCTCCCCATTCGGTATAGCTATCCACTTATTTAGATTTTCTTTAATTTCTCTTAATAATGTTTTAGAATTTTTCTGTTAGAAACTATTCAATTATTTAAATTAAAAGTAATGTTAGCAAAGTTGTTGGATTTAGGGTCGAGACACACAAAATTGTATCTCTGTATAACAATGATAAAAATTACACATTGGGAAATTTTTAAGAAGGTATAATTTATAAAAGAATCATGAAATGTCAAATACGTAGGAATAAATCTAATAAATAATTGGAAGACTTCTAACAGAAAATTCATAAAACATTATTAAAAGAAATTAATGTATATAGAAATATAATTTTTGTGCATTGATCTTCAATCCAATAACCTTGCTAAACTTATTAATTAATTTTAATAATTTACCTGTAGATTATTTTATTTAAGGATTTTCTATGTATACCACCATGTCATTGGCTTATAATATACAGCTTTGTTTGTTTGTTTCTTTCTTTCTCTTTCTCTTTTTCTTTCTTTCTTTTTTTTCAGTATTTACACATTTTTATTCCCTTTTTAAAAATTTTATTACATTGACTAAACCTCCAGTGGAATGTTAAATAGAAGTGGTATCTTGCATGGGTGTGCAATGTAGATACATAGGCTTTTTACACATTCTAGAATTAAGGTATAATTCTGCTGGTTTTGTAATTAACCAAAATTATGCTAAAATTCAGCATAGCCCTACGGACTTATGTAAAGAAAAACCATTTTAAGTAACATTCTTGATCAGATGGCTCATAAGAAAAAACAAAGAGGATGGTTTGAAAGAACAAAGAAATTTGGAGGAAGAGCTTGGATGGAGGAAAATAGGAACTAACAACATTGGAGTAGCAACAGGGGCCAGCTCCCCAGACAACTATTTTTCCCCAAGGAAGATGGTAGTGGGCATTGGACTAGAGAGAAACACATGATCCTAGACACATTTATATTTTATATTAGCCGCATCCACATTTGTCATTACATGAGCATTCAACCACTTGCTAAGCAGCTTGAGTAAGAACATGACTTCCAAGTAAAAAGAATCAGGGTTTAAA